ACTCGTCCGAAGCGATTTTCTCGCTTCAGAATCTTCCTTTCTCGATGGGACTTGGACTGTTCGTGTTAGGAGCTGGACACTCAGACTGCGTCAAGATCCTGTTACCCCCAAGTTGACCTGGACAATGCCTTTAAGTTCTCTTGCAGGTTTTCCGAGCCTATTTTTTCGCCCACGGTTTTTAGTCTCTCTTGCACAATGGCTAAAGTCTGTCTTATAGAATTTAAGGATATCCATGCGCTCAGGGGCTACATTGGAGCAAGCTTATTGTACAAGTGTAGGCAAAGTAACGTCACCGACCCAACATGCCACCATTTTCTATTGTGCATTTGAGCGCATTGTCTTGTACTTCATCGACTACGAGTGAAATGAGCCCATCATCAACATAAACATGAGAACCTTTCTTCACTACCTGAAGTTAGGATAGAATAAAAAATCAATCTATTCAAAAATGGCAGTCTTCAAGTGATCAAAATGAGAGAAATGGGATCCCAACTAAGCGAAAATATGATGTAAGGCACCGTGTCACCTTTACAATATTTTTGTAATCCACGTAAACTGTTTCTGCTGTGCACGCTTCTTTATATTGGGAGTCGGTTGAGAGAGTGACAGTCTTGCCTTTTGCGAGTTCAACCTTAAATCTATCTATTATGCTCGGAGTCTTTGTGAAAAGCTATTTTCACTTCGGCCGTTGCTCCTCCAGTAAGCAAACCAGTTCGAATTTCGGGACCTTTGGTGTCTAGAGCGATCCCTATTTGCCGATTGTCCGGAAAAGATTCTACCGCCTTGCGTACGTTGGCTATCGTTCCGCTGTGGTACTAAATGAGAATATGTTTGTCTTGGAGTCTGAAATCTTTAGTAAAAGCTATTTTTAGAGTATTTACTTCATGGCTGCCATGTGAAAAATTGAGACGAGCAATGTCCATGCCGCAAGTAATCATTTGTTTGAGCATATCTACGGAACGACAAGACGGACCTGTTATTTTGCTTTTGTCACTATTCGGTAAGTACCGACGATCTGCACCGACCTATAGTACAAATGATTCCAGTTTTTCTAGCTGCATGCGCTGGATTCCGTATGTCGAGAGTACAAAAATGTTCGAGATTTGTTCTGGGTATATCCTTGAGTTTTTCTTCCTGCCTAAAAAACGAACTTTTATAAAGACAATTTTACAGTTTTTCAATCTTCCATGAATGTATCTCGGAACGGACAATCGAGATAAACAGCTCAGCTACGAGTACACCGCTTGATACAATCAAAGTTATAGAAATGGTAAGTGAGTCATATCAATTCTATCATTCCAGATAGCAACATCAATACATTCATCCTTTGGGATCGGTCAGAGTTTGCAAGTGTTGACAGTGTTGCAAG